TAGTTATCAGTATGCTCTTGTATATCTTAATAAATGCGCTTATAGCAGCATTACGTACAAGCGTTCTGGAAGTTACCTCGATGGTAATTTAATCTTACTTTTAACCACTACAAAAGGAAATGGTAATTAGACTTATTATAAAAACAATCGTGCGCCTGAGTATCCTTTAAATACCTAAAACCCTGCGTATTTATTGGATTTTGACTAGGTTAAACATATTCCCTTCCAAAATCTCTGTACCAAATAATGTAACGTACGCAAAATCGGTCGTTTACATAGGAGGATCTACCTATCCCCTCTTGTTTTTGTGTATTTGCCAGTCTCTGGGGCAATGGTTTACCTAGTTTTATGCTCATTCAAGCGAATGCTAGCTTTTCTAACTTTCTTATGTTTCTTTAAAGATGAGGAAATTGGAGAAGAAAATGGACATCATGCTTCAGGTGTGCCAAGGCATTGCTAGAGAAAAAGAAAACGGTGGGAGCTTGAAGACGTTGCGTAAACGCGCGCAATGCCAACATCCAAACAATTTGAGCGGGCTCGAGGCAAGTGCTCTGCTCCCGCCGGACAAGCGGGATGTCCAGCCTGGCCACCAAAACCGATTCGACGCTTCCCACTACTCGACCTACCTGTACACTAGTGGTAGTGTGAGTTGTGGCACGATGAACAATGCACCAATCCGAGACTCCGCAATGCTCTCCGCTTTCGTTCGCACCAACTCCTGTTTTGACTTTCAAGCTCAGGGTGATGACCTCGTGGTGAATCGGAAGAGGCCACGGTCAACCCTATTCGTGCCTCCCAATGTTGTCTTTAATGTTGATTTATCGCCCAGTGCGTGCGAAACTTCACTCGAGGATTGCAAATCTCAGGAATATATGAATAAACCGCCTGTGGCAGGGACAACTAAGAAAAAGAATTTGAAGTGGCGCACTTCATCAGAACACAGCATTGGCAATTACCCCGAGAAACCCTGTTTGGAAGAGACTGTCGAATACGCCCCCAAGTCCGAACCCTCCAAATGAGATCAGTTCCAACACGCATACTTCTGTGCATTATTGTCTTTCGGTTCCCACCATTTAATAGAACACGCTCAACGGAATCGAGTTCAAGCCAGACTTGCACTCGAAATCGGCAGATCCCACTCGTCTTACGTCTATTTTTAATTCGAAACGTGGTGTAAATTAAGCCACCAAAGCAAAAAAAGGGAAATATTTTGCATCAACGTGAAGCCCAGGATTTCTCAAAGACTCCTTGATTTATGCGAGGTAGTAATTTTTTAATATCATTTTGCACAAATTATGTGAGCACTGAAATAAAAGCAGTTTCTACTTTCTTAACTTGACATTTGTTTATTTGTATTTGCATATTTTCCAAAATATTACAAGGTATCAAAATGTCAGGAAATTTTTTTGGATAGGGTATGCGATTTGAGGGCAAAAAATAAAGTGTATTGGCATCTTGTTTATCGCACTCTGGATCATCTTGCATAAGATGAGTTCTATAACCGCTTTTTCTTGTCAAAGGGAGTCAGCGTTGTCAGCCATTGAAATCTGTAGCTGCTAGAACTAAAATTAAAACGATGCAACAATATCACAGCAGTTCCTAATACAACTGTGTTAAAAGTTTACCGAAATTATAAATTAAGAAATGTGTCTATGCTCTTGCTTGTAGTTCCTCTAAACACAGTGACGGGCTAAATAACTGCGTTTAGCATTACCTTGTGCTAGAACATGGGAAATGAAATACCCCGTAGTGTTATTTTTAAATTTGAAAGATAGTATGGTTAGGGTTATGGATACATTGTGGGCTAGGGGTGTGGTTGACTAAAGGATTGAGGTTTTGTCTAAAGTTTGAGCCAGGATAAGACATCGAATTTTTAATTCTCAATTTGTGTGATCAAGCGTAACGCCACCAGTTCTATGGAGGTTAGCCTTATGGTGACTTGCCTTTTTATCATTAAATACTGTTTATGATGTGAAACTCACATAGATAGCTTCATTTGAATGTATGTCCGCTTCTTTTGAAACAATGACTCGAACGCAGCCCCTTGTGAAACACCTCTTAGTTCGCGATGTGGAGTATTTAATTGAACCTTGTAAAAAGTCATTTCCATCGTGCACAACACTGTAAAAAAAATTTTAACCAAAATAATCTAATAATCGAACATAATAGCAGCATTAGACATTTAGTTATGTTATATAGCCTCGGTATCCTACTCAGCAAACTCAGTTCGTTTTGATTAAATTTATTTACTTCGTCACTCGTATCCGGGATGATTTGCCCACTGGAATCGTCAGAATCGGGTATAGTGTAATACTTCCAGTTCCTGAGGCAGAAGTTACTGCCACGGAAATGAAACAGTTTTCTGGAGGTAGAGTGGGTGCTGCTCAATCACTTTAACAGTTATTTCGATGATGACACGTTGCGGGTAGAATTTATAATATTTCCTCCAAAATGTTGTAAGGAAACACATATCATGAAGACAGCATGCGCTATTTGCCTTTAAGACGAAATTCTATTTGTAGCTTATCGATGCGTAAATCAACGCTTGCCAGTAAACAGAAATTTCAGACTTTCTAACTGAACAAATTTCGGCCAAATTTTTTAGTTGATCTTTAGTCCAAGTAACCTTGACGAAAATAAGGTTAGCGACTGTTAGCAGCCGGCCGTGAAACCCACTTGCTCAGATTAAATGCATAAACAACGAAAACAACCTTTCTTTCTAATCAGGGTAAATTGTATTATTCAGAGCCGTTGCGACCTAATAGCGATAGTTTACCCGCCTGGTAGTTGTCAGAAAATGACAAGGTCATCGATTCAGACTTCTGATTGCTTAACTTTCTAAAAGGAGAGGGAGGAAGGTGCCCGACCATTGGTGCATATCTCTGCGGCGTCGCCCTAACGCGACGATGTAGGAGGTGTGAAGACGCGTTCAGAATTAGCCTTCGCCCAGGGGATTATTGTTGCTTCAATAAATGCCTTCTGCGTACACAGTTGGGAGTGGTTAACCGTACGGTGACTGTCTCGGCCGTCGCAAGTATCCGATGTTGCAGGAACTTACAGTGTTTAAAACCTGTAAAAATACTTTTTAATACAAAATAAAGTGTTCAACGCTTTGCTTTGACAATGAAAATGCCTGATTTCACAGCAACACACAGCAATTATATAAAGCTGCTTGCCCTCGTAAGTCCCTCTCAAATATGACAGTCACCTTAGACCGACACCGATAGATCTCTACGTTCAGGCGATCAACGTCGCCTCAACTTCTTTCATGCCTGCCCCATGTGCTTCCTTCAAGACCGCCGCTCACATACTGGCCATCACTGCTGACGCGTTTTTGAATCCGACTTGAGGTTCAAAGCGCAGGATTCTAAAAGTGGTAGTCGGGGGCTTTCCGATCGCGTTACCGCACCCGCTCGTCTCTTTGTCCCTTGAGGCTTTAATCTCTTGCCAGCAGCTGCTCAGCGATTGATATGTAAAAGGCACACATGTTCCAATGTTTAACGTGGTGGACTCCTGACCAACAGGTCAAGGGTTCGGGCTTCGGGTAGTCCAACACCTAGGGTTGGGTTTAGCTGGCAAATGACGGCTGATAATTCACGAGTGCCCATTCCAGTCTCCCTGATCTTTGTCTGTTATGTCTTTCTGCGCACGTTTTATCGAGTGCCGAATTCGGCTTGCGAAAATGGGCAAAAGCAGTTTAAGTAATGCACGTCGCATAAACCTAGTTCCACCATTTTGTCCTACGGAGATGGCGGTTGTAGGCTTCTGGGCGTAGGGAAATAGAATAGGCAAGGAACAAAATTTTTAGATGTAAGTGTTAAGTGAAATAATGTAGTCTAATGGGTTTCTCGTTGCCATTGGTAGAAAGCTGTTTCGCATGTGAATTGAAGGTGGGCGCGGAGCCTCGCACCGCGGACTACACTAATCTAATTCCGGAACGTAAATTGGACCACAAGTAAGTTGAAGTAGGCGACCTCCTAATCACCATTTCTATTTTTCAGGGATTTCAAGAAAATTTCAATTTGATACTCGGGTGTTTCCGCAAAACGTTAAACGGTTATACAGATATAGAGTTATACATCAACAACATTTCTAAATACGATAGAATACAAATGCCTTTAGCAGTTATTTAAGTATATTCCACTGCCTATCCTAATCCACCACCCACACAACCGTTATAGCCACCGTTTTCTTAGTAGAAAATGCTGGGACTAGAGATATATGAGGTACACTACATAAAGAACTGTTGCCCGAAAAGGCTTATCAGCGGAATAATTGTAATTCTTCATTGGCACAGTAAATAGCTTATTTGAAGACTTTCTACCTGATAAAATAAGCGTGCAGGTGCCTGTCCCTGCAATAATATAAAGCCAGCCTCACGGCATTTAGGTCTTGGACAAAATGACCGCAAATTAACTTTATGGGAATCCAGGGGTGAAACTGCAGTGTGGAAAAATGACCCTCATAATCCCAGTCACTTAACGGAAAACTATCTGCGAAAGTACCATCAGAAAACATAAATAGGCAATTACAACCCCCAAAGCCCCGAAATTAAAGCGCTTATTTAAACTTTTCCATCGAAGGCTTACATTGCGATGGCACCGTATTACATTTTTGAGTATGCCGGAAATTATTTACGAAAATGTAGAACATTTAGCCTGATAAATTCGTGAGCCAACAACTTTTAAATGTCATGACTAAAGGCGGACTAGTTCTCCAGAGGCAGATTGCATATTTTGTAAGACTGAGTGCCCTTGCGTCCTAGACATCGCCCATCGAAGCGCTAGTAAAACCTGAGCTACAGGACAAATCATTCTAGTATACTACTCGGTAAACTGTCGCCTAAAAAGTGAGGATAGCGCATGTACTAACAAATACGGAGACATATCTTTCACTGATATTTTTTTGCAAAACTTCAAATAGGTTGCCTTCCGGCTGTTGAATATGATAGCTTGTAGCAACTCCACATAATTAGAAACCGTACTTGATAGATTTTACCAAATATCGCAACGGCTATAGTTGCCGTTAGACAAAGAAACTTTATTGTAAAAAAAACCTTACAAAACTTCCTAATCAATGTATTCTAAGCAGCTTTCTAAGTCTAAACTTTAAGAAATAGGAAAACTGATAATAAAATTCTGTTTGTAATTGCAAAGTAGAGCGTATTGTCAAGAGTTGATCTTATAACGCATGACTAAGTAGCTTCCATGACAACATTCCATTGGTTTACTGTGTTCACGCATCTTTCAACTATATGTAGACCAGATGCAAATAATGTGGGAAAACGCACATAGGGCTCGTTATTTCCGTTATTAGGCCCTACATGTATCTGAGAAGTAGAACAGGACTCGATCGCTGGGACAATATGTTTATTCACCTGACGTTTCGAAATCCATCGCGGCTTAATCATCAGAAACACACTCACAAAACAGTAGCAGAAACCGGATCTGCTAATAGGTTGAGGCTTCACGAAGGGTAAACGTTTCCCGTCGTCGGGCCGATCGAAGCGCCACGGATTTCGAAACGTCAGGTGAATAAACATATTGTCCCAGCGATCTTGTCGTCTTCTACTTCTAAATTACTTCCTGGGACTCACATGTTCGTTTGCACCTGCAAGTATCTATTCAAACTCCTCTTAATTCGGTACTTTTGAAGTTGAACCAAGCAGAAAAACGGACGCCCAAATGTGTGTCACACCATAGCGCATTACAAGACTACTTGAGAAAGGGCTGGGCGCACCACTCCTAGATTAGACGCGCAGATTGCATTCTGGCCCGAATTCCCCAGGCGAGGTTGTATAATCGAAGCTGAATTATCTTGGTGGTCCGCGCCTTCAAAGACACCGCCTATTAACCCCAAAATATACCAACCATGTTCTAACTGTGCTTGTGATTTTAACAAATGGATAGCGCGAAGAGGTTGTTTACTGCACCCCTGGGGCGCATCATATTGCTAACGTTGCTGTCATTAAAATGTTTATGGTATACTACAATGCAGACTGAAGCTAGCGAGTCAGCGA